GTTAAGAGCCTGATAGGTAAGGTGGTGGGGAGCCCCGGTTGGGGGAGGGGCAGAGACACAAAGGGACCTCTGGGGGCAAGTGGAACTTTGAAGTCACTCAGGGAAACAAAGAAGAAATAGAGTTTCCACTGGGCAAGAAACTTAAGAAGGGAATCTGGCAAGAGAGCAAACAAATTGGATAATCAGGAGAGAGGACTATGGACTGGCTTGAGCTCCAAGAGAGCACAAGAGCAGTTTGCCAAGGAAGAGAGTAGAGGCAAGAAGCCAAGGGGAGGCCTGCAGACTCAAGCACGTGACTTGGTGTTAAGTAACGAGGCAGCACTGTTCTTGTCCAGTGCCAGGGGTGCAGGCTGCCAAAGACGCACCCCTACCCGTGGATACAGTCCCTACCTCATGTCCCCATGTCCTCTGTGGAAACAGCACACTCTTGGTCAGGGAAGGACCATGAGGAGGTCAGTCCATGCTGCAATCCTGTTGTTCAGCAGCTGGGCTGCTTAAGAGAAAGCTTAGGCTCACTTAAAGATGAGTGGAGTCTTAAAACATGGGCTTGCACCTCACGGAGGCCACCAGAGGTAGCTAGTGCCCAGTGTTTGCCCCTCTTTGTCCCCTCCCCAGGGTGCTGGGATGACAGAATGAAGGGTAGAGCAGAGCACATGATTACCTGAGATGCACAGGAGAGGGTTCGGAGCCAAGGTTTTTAGGGAAGCTTCTGAAACGACTGAAGATGTAATGAAAATCAGTCACAACCCTAGATGAGCACAACACGAAAGCCAACTGGAGAGTGAGGTTCAGAAAGCTAGTAAGAAACAAAGTTGTTGCAAACAGCTTCTATAAAGAGGGGTGTTGGTGTGGAGAAAATCAGCTATATTTAGCCAAGAAATGCAAGTTTAGATTTGTTTTCAGTGTTGTTAGTCAGACAATGTTCAAAGTGTCCTCGGAGTTCGAAACATAGCTTTCTTCAGATTCCAAAATGGGCCATAAAATGCTCCAAGGGTTTTCAAAGTATCTTGGGAAACTAAACTTTTGATCCCTTTTGGTGGGAGCCAGCAGATGACCTGAGCACTATTTCAACATTGTCTTCCAGCAAGACCTATCAGCCCAGGTGGGCTTCAGGTACTCAGGCCTAGTTGTGTTTGCACCTGTGCATTTTTCTGGGGGAAACAAGAATCTGTTTTAAACAGATTTTTTAAACAGATTTTTAAAACAGATTTTAAACAGATTTTTTAAAACAAAAATCTGTTTTAAACAAATTTTCAAAGATGTACATGATTTGAGAGAGAGAGAAAGAGATTAAGAATCATTGCTTTAGGATAAATCCATGTTGAGGAAAATGCTACAAAGCCATGGGAGATCTCTATTATCAAAACAAAAGGAACTGGATTCTGTTAAATGTATTCCTATGTCTTCCAGAACCTCCTGTAGAGCTGCTCAGTAGTAAAGTGGAGTGGAAGGAAAAGAGTCAGACAGGAGAATTATGGGATGCCCTCAGGGAAGCCTGCCATCTTGAAAATGCTTTGGACTGAAGCCTATAACACAGTCTCATCTCCCCACGCTTTTGAAAAAATGGGGATACAGTCCCAGACTTGGACATTTTAAATGAGTATCAATTTATTGGGGGAGAGGGTGAAAAACTGAGGTCATAAAGGATGGAAAGGAGGGAACTACGAGTAAGGTGGTCAGGCTACTGAAGAGGCTACTCTAATAATCCAAGGGAGGGGTGATGAAGATCTTGACTAAAGCAATGGTTGTAGAGAAGGAAACAAGTGAATATTTAAAGAAATAGTGGTGAAGTAGACTTCAAAAACTCTTGAATTGATTAGATCTAGGGGTTGAAGGAGGAAGAGAATGCAAGTGGAATATCAGTTTTCTGCCTGGGCACCTGGCAGGAGAAGAGTGAGGTTGTAAGATGGTGCCATGTCAAACTTCAGACGTCTATGGTCTGGCTTTACTCACTAGAAGTGCAAGTCAGAGGTGGGACTCAGAGAATCATCAGCCAATGGGTGAAATACAGGAGATTAATCAGGAAGAGAGTTGCAAGCCTGAGGCCCAACAACATGTGAATGGCTAGAAGAGGAGGCAGACAAGGGACACTGAGAAGAAATGATGGAAGAGGTAGGACGAGGGCCAGGAAAGATGGTTTCTAAAAAGATATAACTTCACTATCCAATATGGTATCCACTGGCTACATGTGGCTCGTCCAAATTAAGGTGTGCTCTAACTGTAAAATATATACCAGATTTTGAAGACCCAGTAAAAATAATTTTTAAAAAATATAAAATGACTCAATAATTTTCACGATGACATGTCGAAATAATATTTTTAACATATTGGGTAAATAAAACACATTGTTAAAATCAACTTCACCACCTCTTTTAACTTTTTAAATGTTTTAAATGTGATTACTAGAAAAATTACCTATGTGGCTTGCATTGTATTTCTATTGCACAATGCTACTCCAGAAGAAACAAGTTCTTCCTTTTTAACAAGACAAAGAGAAGATTTGGGAATCAGAAAGTCACCATGCCAGCAGAATGGCAGGGACAGAAGACAGATGGAATGGACTAGAGAGTGAAGGAGAGATTTGGTAAAGCCTGGATGAGAAGGGGAAAGGAGAAGGAAGGTAAGGGTTGGAATATGTGTGTAAATGTTTGGATCAAAGGATTTACTTATTTCCTGAACAGAGTTTGGTAAGGACAGCAAAGACTGAAATGCATTTCTTGGCTGAGGACATGAATCCTGAGGGAGCAGCACAGGAGATATAGGAGAGGAGAGCAATGGTCAGGGAGCACCGATGGCTGGGAGGCTAAGGTCCAAGCAACCAGCTGAGGAACGCACCTTGAATAGGAGGAGGGACTTCATCTCTCTGAGAGGAAAGGATGTGAATGGTTTACATGGGTTGGAAGATGGGAAACAAGATGGAGGAGAGATAAAGAAGTGCCAAGATGGAGTTCATGCCCAATAGCTTCTGTTTTCTTGATAAAGTAGGGGAGAAAAGCCATCTACCAAGAGTGGAGGGGTAGGGTTAGGCAGAAAGGTAAGGAAGGGGCAAAATTGTGTTTGACTGCTGAGTGGCTGGCAGAGGGAGCCAATCAAAGACAAGAAAGAAAACAAAGGAACAGTGGAGAGCACCTCAGTGTAGCTGGCAACATGGAGTCTGGTGAGGGCAATCTGCACCAGTGTGGCCTTCTAGTCAGAAGAATGGAAGTATGTGCTGTAGGAGAAATACAGGGATGAAGGGCCAAGAAGACTGGAAAAGTGGCATTCAGGCAGAGAAAAAATGGAGGTATCAAGGCATATAGGATGCTTTAATGAGGA